CACATATGTATATGGCTTATAAAGAAATATTAAATGTTTAATAAATGTTTTAAGGAATAGTTAAGCAGCTTTTAGTGTCTGGCCAGTCAAGAAGTTGCTTATAACCATGGTTTATGACAGGGCTCTCATCTGCAATCCTAGGCTGCATCCAGATCCAGTGGCAGACTGGGATGTGCAGCAGCATGATGAGCAGTGGTGATGGTGATGTGAAGGTTAATGCAACCATTGCTCATGCCCCACCATCAACATGCATGCCCCTCAGGCTTCCATAGTGGGAAATTTGGAATCACATTCACTTGCTGTTTCTAGCCCACGGGCTGTATGTTTGGCATCTTTGGTTTATAGCAAATCTAAAATACCTTCTAGTTATCATTCATGCAAACCCTTAAGAGGCATTCCCCTAACAATGGCACAATACTTCTACAGTTGCTAGTAGCAGCACAGGGATTTTGGCAATTTCAGACTTACACTTAGGGATTTAATGTGACAAGAAAGTACCTAAAACCTGCCTAGGCATACAAGGTTGCTTGGGTAAATGTGATCTCTTTTATAAGACCAACTAAATAGTTGGAAAAAAACCTGTCCCTTGCAAGCTTTTGGGCACAAACACCCTTCTTTAGGCACAGGGAAAGTCTGCTGTTGTTTTGTGTGATCTCCTGGATGGAACAGAAGCCAATATGCAAAATGCAGGTCTGTGAAAGATGTAAATGCATGGCAGTGAGGATCAGAGACCATGAGAGACAATAGGTGAGAGATGGGGGGGGAAGAAGGGAGTTGACAAAAGGGGGAATGGTGACCTGGTGATGGAATATAGCTGATAAAATGTAGAGAGGGTATTTGGTGTTATTGGATTGTAGGCAGGTTATAATGTGCCATAAATCCAATGCCTATATTTAGTCCATGATTTTTTGTATCCAGTAGATTTATGAAGCGAAGTTCATACGCTCTTCTATGGAAGGTGATCAGATTACTGAGGTTTGGTGCTTTTTCAAAGACTACAATCGGTAGTTCTGGAAAGAGCTCTTTAAGAATTGTTCCTTCTTGTATGGGTTGCAATTGTTTGAGGATTTTCCACATAGGTTCCAAGGAGGGATTGTATGTCATAAGTAATAGTGTGCGATTTGTGGGGGTTTCTTTTCGTACTACAGCAGTTCTTCGCATGGTATGTGGATGACTTTCAAAGGTACAGTCTCTCTCTCTCTCTGGAGGAATGTCTTTGTTGCGTAAAAGCCCTTTTGAGATTTGTGAAGTGACGATCATGGCAGTCCTCCTCAGTGCAAATTTGGTGATAGTGGAGGGCTTGACTGTATATTACAGGTTTCTTGGTGTGTTTAGGGTGATTGCTGATTCTTTTTAGATATGTATGTTGGTCTGTGGGTTTCTTGTATATGGAGGTTTGTATTTTACCACATTGGATATTGATCATAGCGTCTAAAAAAATGCAATGTTGGTGCTGGAGTATTCAAGAGAGAGTTTGATTGAGGGGTGATGATTATTGAATTTGTGATGGTAATCAATCAGAGATTATAGGTTTTCAGTCCAAATGATGACGTCATCTATATATCAAATTTAGCATGGGTGTGATAGTGCAATTCTTGAGGAATTCTTTTTTTCCAGGTGGCCCATAAAAAGGTTGGCATATTGTGGGGTCAGTTTTGGTGCCCGTGTACTGGAGAAAGTATTGGTTATTGAAGTTAAACTGTTGCGTAGGAGGATAAGTTCAGTAATATCTTTAGGTCTGCACTCTGAGTTGTAAACTGGCTCTTGTAGATATATAAGGCAGATTTGGATGCCACCCTGGTGTGGGATGTTGCTGTATAAGCTGATAACATCCATGGTGGCTAGGATAGTATGGTTAGGAATGTGGTCTATTTTTTAAAGTTTTTATAGAAAGTCTGTCGTTTCTTGGACAAAACTCACTCTTTGGGTGACAAGAAATTTTCAGACGGATTCAATGAAACCTGATATTTCCTCAGTTAGGGTTCCATGGTTGGATATTATAGGTCTGCCTGGGTTCCATTTTTGGGGGGATTTTAGGGAGCTTGTAAAAAGTCCCCAGGTTGGGTACTGGGGGGCGGGGGGAATCAAGTGCTGCAGTTTTTCTTGTAGTTCAGATGGAAATGATTTAATTTGATTGCAGTTTTGAGTTTTAAGGTGAAAAGGGGAGTTGGATTGTCCTCCAGTTTTTTTTTTTTTTTTGTAGTAGGTGGTGTCAGAGTTATCTGTTGGCTTCTTTTATGTAGTCTTCACAGTTAAGGATAACTATAGCTCCTCCTTTATCTGCTGGTTTTATTACCATTTGGTGGTTGGATCTTAGAGATTCTATGGTCTCTCTCTCTGAGGGAGAGGCTGTTGTCATGGCATTTGTTGTTAATTATTATATTGTTCATTCTTTCCCTGAAACAGTCTACATAGCAGTTAAGGTTTGAAATTAATCTACTGTGACGTTTCCAAACTGACGGTTTTTTGCAGGGGTTTGGGCGGGGGGTAATCAATGTTGTCAAGGATGGCGTGTTCTTGGAAGTGGATTCATTTCAGTTGTGGAAATATTCCTTGAGATTGAAGCATTAGAAAAATCCTTCTAGTTCTCCACATTGTAGTATATTAGACAAACAAAAATATTGCCCATATTGTAGTATATTAGTCAAGCACCTGGCTGGGGTTACTTGACCCCAGTGCTTTTTCCTGCCCAGAGCAGGGGGTCAGCCTCGATGATCTAATTGGTCCCTTTCCACCCTAGAAATCTATGAAATATTATAAGGGTATTTTTCCGGGCAGAAATTAAGACCTTTAGAGAGGGCAGATTTTTCTCCTTTGATAAGTGTGTGTGTGTTGGGGGGGGGGATTCATAATATTTAAGGGTTAATTGGTTCTTTCATTGAGTATGAGGTTGGAATGGTGTACGGTATTGGTGTTCTCTGATGAGCAGGTAAATCCTGCCTAAGACCAGGTCCGCCTATGCGAGTTGCCCAAAATCACAGAGAAATCTGTAACAAACAGGAAATTGAACCCTGGGGAATTCTAAGATCCAGGCTTATCCTGGAATCAAGGAGAAACCTGCGTGATGCAGAGAAATCAAATGCATCTTCCACTCTAAACTTTTTTCTCACAGTAAATTCACTAAAGAATAGTAGAAAGGGGCTCCACGGATTGCATAGCAACAAAAAAAAAAAAAAAAAAAAAAAAAAAAAAAAAGAAGTGATACTCCTAGCAAGTAGAGCGAGACTTAGATGAACATCCTCTAAACACCACTGAACTTCAAAAAGGTTTAAAATCAAGTTTTGCAATTTGCTTTCCGTTGCTATTTTTTTTTAATACTAGTTGATCTAAACCTCTTGATGCAAACCCTCCTGAAAGTCAGGGTGCACAGTCCTGATTAGGAGAGTAAAGTTAGAGGTGTAGGGAAGTTCATTTTAATTAAACTGAGCCAGTTCTTGTTCCAAGAGGCAGTACTCCCTCTTTCATACTTCAAAGAATATGGAAGAGATTTCTGCACCTTTAAATAGAGAACCTGTGTGAAACTAACACTACTTGGCTGAAAACTCTGCAGCCTGTTATATGTATAAAAAAAGAAATCTTAACAAACTCAGACTCCATGACATGCATTAAATTAGGCAGCACAACCAACCAGAACTTTTACAAGATAAGTGACAATTTCTGGATTGGTCTTCTGATTGGCCCTAGTTATTTAATCAGCTCCTTCTATCTTGTTTTTTGATACAAGTCCAAAAAGTCATTGGCTTGTAAGATATAAAGGGAACTGCATTTACAGTTAGTAACTGAATTTTTCTTCCTACAATATGACACTATTCTCACAAGCCTTTCAACTTTCAGTTGCTGCTGTTTCAAAAATATTTACAAATAGAGAGTCCCCAAACAAGCCCAGGCACTTTCAATGGAAGAATAAAAAATGCAAAAACACACAATCAATGCATAAAAACTCTTTGGGTAAGGTAAGTGAAAAATAACCAGAGACTTGCTATCCAAAATTTGTAATTATAGTCAACACAAACAATATTACTCCATTTTTTATATCACACTGCCTATTACCACAGTTTTCATCATCAGTAGGTGGCTTCCATACATAACAAGGCAAAAATGTTCCTTTTCTTGTTACCCTAGACACCATCACAAACTGCTTAATAACAACAACTTAAGCTAAGTAAGGGAAAGAGAGCAGCATGCACATGGTACCTGGTCAGCCCTACACAGAGGAGTGGAGCTGGAGATCTCACTGGCTTTGTAAGCCAGGACTGTGGATGGAAGGAGTTGCACTCAGACTTGGGGGCAGATCCAGTCTGCTTCTTGAGCACTCTTAGGACTAAAGATTTGTTTGGGGATACCTCTGGAGATGTGGGGGGAAATTAAGGTGCTGAGTATAAGTTACCACAGTGTTGATGTTTCTTTACCTTTTACATGTTCCCACCCATTGGGCCATTGTCTTGTGACCCTAACCTATTCGTGATGCATAGGGGGTGCACATGGGTGCACGTGCACCCCCTGAGAGAAGCACTACCAATGCTGCCACAAGTGCCTGTGGGCGGTTGCCCTTCGCACACCACCCCCTACTCACCATCAACACCACTGGTGGAGTCTGCAGGCATTCAACCCCACCCTCCCACCACCAACACTGTCACGACCGCCTATGGGAGCTCACCATCGCCATGGCTCCATCACTACTACTGCTGCCTGTGGGTCATTGCTGTGCCCCCCCCCACCTCTGGGGGCACATGTCATTCATGCCCTAACCCCTATAACTTTCCATATACAAGAGGGAACTCCCCCTTGCTGCTTGTGCCAGTTTCTGGTCCTGCAGGGCTGGCATACTAGGAATGTTGCTAATAGTAGGTTGGGAAAAAACAGGCTCAAAGATTTTAAGTCTTTCCAGGCTGTGTTCACATGTGTGTGGACATTTAATTGCTGGGACAACTAGGGACAGTGCTTGTGGCACCACCAGTTGTCCCCAAGGAATAACTGTGCCAGGCTCACTGTAACTCATGGCAAGTTACCTCAGGTTGGGTAGTGGAGGTTAGAGCCAGCACTGGGCTGGCCCCAGCAGCCTTACCTGGGGTCCTGGTGGCCTCCTGGATCTGCAGTAGTGGCAATCATGCTGAGCAGAGCCTGGCTGGCATTGGAGCACAGGTCTGGCTGGCTCAGCTTGGGCTTTGAGCAGTGTGCACTGCCCCCTCCATGCACCACTCCACACGTTTTCCCCCCCACAGATTTTTTTTTTTTTTTACTCCTGTATAAGCTGGGTAAAAAAACAAAAAACCACAACTTTGTGCTGCTCCCTTGCAGTGTGGAGAAAAACTGAACATGTAGTAGGCGGTGCTATAGACACGTGTCTAATAGGGCTGTGGGAAATTTCACCACCCATTTTGTTTCAAGGCTGTTTTGACCCATTCTGAGGTAGAAACAGCAAAATCAAAATGGAACCGTTATAGTCAAAACAGCCTTGAAACAAAACGAGGCAAGTCTAATTGTTTTGCCATTTTGACGCTGTTTTGACATTTTGCCCATAGGCTATAATGGGGAAGGACAAAACTGTCTATAACTTTGTCATTTCTGGCTTGATTTGGATGCAGGAATGGTAGCCCCTTCTGAGGGCATGCCTGCCAAGTGTCAAGGAGCAGGGGGTTCAGGGAAACTGCACCCCAAAGTTTTTAAAGCAAAACTTGTGTCACGTGTGTGTGTGAAGCCACAGTGGAGTCAAAATTGGAAGTGTTCTAGCCCCTGTGGAGGCCACAAAGCCTGACAAGTTTTAAGGAGATAGGTGCAGAGGGTTGGGGTAAACTGTACTTCAAGCTGTGAACAAGCAAAACTCGTGATATGGGTGACACCGTGTGTGTTAAGGCACAGCAGGGTGAAAGCTGGAGACCTGTTAATCCTTGCTCATTAACTACTGTGTATTTATCTGTTCCCCCAGTGAATCCTGATTGATTGTGTAACACAGTAGCTAGGTAGGATAACGAGTTAATGAGCAAGGATTAACACCTATGATACCATAGACTCAGGAGAGGAAAGAATCAATACAGAGCCAGGAACTGCTTCTATCCCAAGACAGAGTGTCAGTTGCACAAGCCCCATGTCATGAGTTTTGCCTGTCAGCAGCTAGGGGTGTAGGGCCCCATGACCCCCCTGCACCTATCTTCTTGACAGCTGGCAGGCTTTGTGGCCGCAGCAGGGGCTAGCATGCCTGCAGCTTTCACCAAGCTGCACCTTAACACACACCAATAATCTACTGGTCAGAGCATATCCAAAGAGCAGGAGACCCAAGTCTAATCATCTCCACTGCATAGGAGAACTGGAACCTGCATCTCTCTCAGGTGTGTAACAGCCAGGCTAAAAGAAATTATTGTGATAGTGTTGTCTTATTCCTCCTACTGAAACTATTCCAATTAGCATGCTCTAGCACAGTGCAGATACAGACAAACTATGGGTATTCTGTGGCCCAGTGGAATAGCATTCAATTTTACTTTCCAGGCTGGAAAAGCATCATTTATTACATTTTGAAAAAGTTACTGTTTTTCATAGAGAATGGAGCACTGAGTCTAGGCAGGTGCACTAGGCAATACAGAGACTTGCTTAATATTCCATTGACAGACTGAGGGTCTTCAGTGTTCCTGTTCCTAAAAAGTCAATTCACACTTATAAAGAAAATAAGGGGAAAAAATCACTACACATCTGTGTGTCACTGCACATTTTGTTTAGTCCAAATCTTACAGCAACTAAACTTTGGAAAAGCTGGAGTTTATACAGATTTTGAAATGACAGCATTCCAAAAGTAGAATCCATTGTGGTAGTTATGTGAAATATCTGTTTCTCTGCTCTTATCTTTTTTTTATTTTAACAACTTTGTTCCGATCTGCAGTAGTCCATATAGCCACTTTCAGGTAAAGGGATTAGAAAATATCAAAAAAGAATGGTTGTAATTTTCAAAAGTGTTTAAAATTACTTAGGAATGGGAGTAGTTTGACTTTTTTTTTTTTTTCCTTTTCTTCCCTTCTGAAGGTTTCAAGTCTGGCAAAAGATAAAAGATAAAGTCTTTCAACCACACTCTGAAACAGGTCAGCTAAAAATAAAAATATTTGAAATCAGAAGTCTAGTTGTGGTGCCCTGTAAGTAATGTCACCTGGGTTCTTCATGTTCCCAAACCATTTTGTAGACTGCAGTATTTCATCAAAAGAGATTGTCCATGATTTCTCATTGTGGCCCTATTTTTGCAAGTGGGCAGAGTGGGCGTGGGAAGTTGATCAGAGGAATCCATTGACCTAGTGAATGACTGGAGATAAAGTGTGGTGATGAGACCAGTTTATAAGATAGACTTTTAATGCAAGCCATTTCATCTCCAAGTCCTATGAGATACACGACTGACAGTAAATAGATATATTTTGACTAGCCAATTGCCCATCATGAATAATGGAGTGTTCAAGCGAGTGTTTACATGCCCCCCACACGCCATCCTCACTCACCCTTTGGGCCCAGTCATTTAAATAGTCCCTCTGCCACTGCTTCCACCTCCTTCTCTAGCCTCTAGCATGGTGGCTCCCTCTCCCCACCACCTCTGCCTCTGCCTCCTGAAGAGCAGCAAGGTTTCCCTTCACCTGAGGTGGTGGTGTTGGCGGCTCCTGCCTCTGCCTCTGCTTCTGCCTCCTTCCAAGGAGCAATGGGGTGTCCCTCTGCCTGTGGCAACAGCAGCGGCTCCCCACCCTCACCTGCCCCTGCTTTCCACAGTGCAGAAGGGCTTTCCTTCACCTGAGAAGGCAGCACAGGTGAGGGCAGTGGCGGCTCCTCCTTCCCCTCCACCTGCCCACCTCCACCTTCTCCCATGGAGCAGTGGGGCTCCCTGAGGAAGCGGTGGCTCCCTCCCTGCCTGAGGAGGTGGAGCCCCCACAGCCAATTGCCACCAGCCTTCCGAGTGGCACATGCACAGTTGCCCAAAAGCATTATAGACAAACAGACAGACAGACAAATCCCTTTATTATATTAGAATATTCAGTGGAACACCAAAACCTTTGTTGAAACTAGGCAACGTTTTTTTAACCTTCCCCCCCTGCCCCCTTCCCCCCCATAAGTATTGCATTTTGAGACTAACATGAGTGATATGAGTGGATTTCTTTCTATGTTTTGAAAAGTTGTCTGAAGGTCCAGACTCCACATTTAAAATATAAATTTTCATATTTTGTTTTTTTTTTAAATGTTCTTCCTTGCACTTGATGAAAAGAGGGAAGAACATCTTCACAGACAGGCTTGCTAACCTAGTGAGGGGAGCTTTAAACAAGGTTCACCAGGGGATGCAGGCCAATGCCCTGAGCTAAGTGGGGAGCAGGTGACCTAAAGGAAGCAAAGCATCAGGGGGAAATGGGGGAGGCCTTCTCATTCTTCCTGAGAAAGCAGGGTAATCAGCTAGCTACCTTGGGTGTCTATACACAAATGTACAGAGTCTGGAAAACTATCAGGAAGAATTAGAAGTCCTTGCACAGTCACAGAAATATGAGGTGAACAGAATAACAGAAACTTGGTGGGAGCTCACATGACTGCAGCACTGTTGTAGATGGGCAGAAACTGTTCAGGAAGGACAGGCATGGGAGAAGAGGAAGAGGAGTTGCACTTTATGTAAAACAGCAGTATGATTACTCAGAGCTTCAGAATGAAAGTGGAGATAGGCCTGTTGAAAGTCTCTGGCTTAGGGTCAGATGGGAGAGCAACAAGGGTGATGTCATGGCGGGGATCTGCTATAGACCACCAAACCAGGAGGATGAGATGAATTAAGCTTTCTTCTGACACCTAGCAGAAGTTTCCCCAATCACAGGCCCTGGTTCCTGTGGTGGACTTCAATCACCTTGACATCTTCTGAGAGGGCAATATAGCAGTGCGCAGGCAATCCAGGAAGTTTTTGGAGAGTGCTGGAGATTGCCAACTAGAAGCCATGATCTTCTTGACCTGCTGATCACAAACAGGGAAGAACTGGTGGGGAATGTAGAAGTGGATGGTAATTTGAGCAACCATGACCATGAGATGATCGAGTTCAGGATCCTGATGAAAGGAAGGAAGGAAGGAGAAGGGCAGATTAAGGATCCAGGACTTCAGAAAAACAGGCTTCAATTTATTCAGGGAACTGATGGACAGGACCCCCTCGCCGGCCAATCTGAGGGAGAAAAGAGTCCAGGAGAACAGGTCATATTTTTAAAAGACCTTACTGAGGGTGCAGGAATGAACCATCCCAGTGCTCAGGAAGACTAGTGAGTATGGCAGAAGACCAGCTTGGCTTAGTAGGGAACTCTTCAGTGAGCTAACAGACAAGAAGTGGAAACTTGAACAAACTAGGGATGAGTATAAGAGTATTGCTCAGACATACAGGGATGAAACCAAGAAGGCCAAGGTGCAACTGGAATTGCATCTAGGAAGGGATGTGAAAGGCAGCAAGAAGGGCTTCTACAAGTATGTCAGCAACAAGAGGAAGGTCAGGGAAAATGTGGGTCCCTTACTGAATGAGGGAGGAAATCTAGTGGCTGATGACACAGAAAAGGCTGAAGTACTCGGCGCCTTTTTCACGTCAGTCTTCACAGGCAAAGTCAGCTGCCAGACTACTTCACCAGGCAGCACAGTTTGGGGAGAGGGTGAGCAGCCAACAGTGGTGAAAGAATAGGTTAGCTTTAAAAAAGTTGGATGTGCACAAGTTAATGGGGTGAGTCGGGATGCACCCAAGAGAGCTGAGGGAGTTGGCTGTGGTGATTGCAGAGCTGCTGGCCATTATCCTTGAAAAATTGTGACAATCAGGGGCAGTCCAAGATTATTTAAAAATAGCAAATATAATGCCTACCTTTAAGAAAGAGAAGGAGGATCCAGGGAATTTCAGAACAATCAGCCTCACCTCAGTCTCTGGAAAAATCATGGAGCAGGTCCTCAAGGAATCCATTTCTAAGTACTTGGATCAGGAAAAGGTGATTCAGAACAATCAGCATAGATTCAGCAAGGGCAAGGCATGCCTAACCAATCTGATTTTCTTTTATGATAAGACAACTGGCTCAGTGGTTGCAGGGAGAGCAGTAGATGCGATGTACCTTGAATTTAGATATGGTCTCACACAACATTTTTGCAAGCAAGCTAAGAAAGCAAGGGTTGCAGGAATGGACTCCAAGGTGGATAAAAAACTTGCTAGATTGTCAGACTTAGAGGATCAACGTGTAGTTGGCAGACAGTATCGAGTGGAGTGCTCCAGAGATTGGTTCGGAGGCCGGTTTTGTTTGATATCTTCATCAATGTCCTGAAAGATGGCATAGACTACACCCTCAGCAAGCTTGCCAGTCTCACCAACTGGGGGTGTGGGGGGGGGGGGGAATAGATACACTGGAGGGTAAGATTCAAGGAGACCTAAACAAATTGCAGAATTGGACCAAAAGCAACCTCATGAGGTCTAATAAGGACAAGTACAAAGTTCTTCACGTAGGATTCATGCACTGGTACAGGCTGAGGACTGACTAGCTAAGCAACAGGTCTTCAGAAAAGGATGTAGGAGTTACAGTGGACAGTAAACTGAATATGAGCCAATAATGTGTCCTTGTTGTGAAGAAGGCTAGTGGTATACTGGGGTGCATTTGTAGGCACATTGCCATTAAAGCGAGGGAAGTGATTC